ACCCCCCTATAATTACGGTCCCTATAATTACGATTCCTATAAAACTACGAAAAAATATACGTATTTTGGAAATGTTGAGTCGGATTAGTGTAGAATCGATTAATTTTATGGAAGAAAACCTTTCGATCAGCCGTAGTCCGTAAACTTGACACGTGTCGGGCTGTGATTGGAACGACTTGTAAGAAATCGGATTCCTAATAAATTGGAACGTATCTATATCTTATAGGGGGGTCGACTGTATATAATTTATATAAAATTAATATAATATAAATGAAATGTTTAAACTTATTGTTTATTTCAAGGGAGAAAGTGGACCTGCCGGTGAATCAGGACCACCTGGTCCCCCGGGACTTCCGGTATGTCATGGACTAATATATAATTTTCGTGTTGTTTTTTTTTATTTTTTCACCATGATATACATCTCATTTATCATATTCTATAAGAAATAATACAGTTCAGTGTATATTATGCATAATATGAAAACTTGATAACACCCTGTCTTGATTTCGACCTTGTTATTTTGAAACAAAAGAATAAGGTCAAAATCAACAAGAAGAAACTATCGGGATAAATTGAGAAAATTATTTCTTTTTTAATGTAAAATATATAAATTTATTTATTTTAAATATATTATAAATTTACTTTGCACGATATGTTAACATTTGTATATTAATATATATATAATAAATGTTTATTTATCTATAAATATAGGGTTCTACCGGACCTGTAGGTCTTCAAGGTGAAGAAGGAGCTCCGGTAAATATATTATTATATGATTTTTAAGTTATTACTTTTCGAGAAAAATAAGCTTTATTATTTTTAATTTTATTTCTGTTTAGGGTCCAAAAGGTACAAAAGGAGAAAGTGGACCGAGAGGACCAGATGGGCTACCGGTAAGATTTATTTTACTTAATCGTTAATGGTGTTATTTTACATCTTAAAAGTGAATAATAAATAAAGGAAATTTTTTATTAGTTTTTTTTATAATGGAATTTGTATTCTTATAGTGTAGTTTTTTTGTTAAAGAAATATATTTTATCACATAATAAATCATCATTACAGAAAACTGTTTAACAGATGATGATTTATTGTATTTGAGGTTATTCATTATATTATATGATTATATATAATGAATAATTGATAATTTGTGACATATTAATATTTCTACAATATTTTAATATTCGAATTTTTTTCTTTTTTATACTGATATTATAAGTATTAAACTACAAAGATTTTTATAACGTTAACCTTCATTGAAGCTTCATTTTTCTTTTATAATCGTCTTAAATTACAGGAAAATCTGCTTAAGTTGATATTCAAGGACGGAAAATTAATGTTGAAATTCGATTTTTTCCTAAGGAAAAACGATTGATGTTCGTTTTTAAATATTTACACGTCCTTTGTCCACTTCAAAATAGAAAGAAATAAAATAAAATAAATAAATAATAACTTAGTACATGATTTATTTCTAAATGAATTACAGTCGACCCCCCTATAACACTGTTGATTATTCCGTTTTATATGAATTCCATGTTGTACGAGTCACTTAAATTTTACAAATACGTGAACCGCGGCTCACGTATTTGTAAAATCTAAGTGACTCGTACGACATGGAATTCATATAAAACGGAATAATCAACAGTGTTATAGGGGGGTCGACTGTACTTTAAATTCTATTTTATAACTTTTAATATTGAAAGTAAAATTTATTATTTATTTATTAGCATTTTTAATTTTTTTTTAAATTCAAAATGGAGAAAATTATCTCTGTCAATGTAAATAAATAATTATATATAATGAATATATTATAGCAAACGACATTAGTAAATAATCTGTTATAAGAAGTGTTGAAAGCAATCCTTATACAGTAATGAATACTACAAATCTGTCAATCATTCTTTTCTCATCAAGCAAACAAATTATATCAGCCATTAACTTGTTAATAAATACATGATGGCATTTAGATTTTAATAACGTCGTCTTAAAGAATATATTATTCTGTAAAATTTAATTCTTAAATATTAAAATATATAATTAGGGAGAATCAGGAATACCAGGAAAACAAGGACCTGTTGGAAAACCAGGACCAAAAGTAAAGAATTTTAATTGTTTTTGAATACAAGTAGACCCCCTATAACACTATAGATAATTCCGTTTTATATGAATTCAATGTTGTACGAGTCACTTAGATTTTACAAATACGTGAGCCGTTCACAGCCCGGCACACAAATTTGTAAAATCTAAGTGACTCGTACAACATTGAATTCATATAAAACGGAATTATCTACAGTATTATAGGGGGGTCTACAATTCACCTTTTATTGATACTTTTCTTTTTCTTTTATAAAGGGTGATCAAGGAGACAGGGGTCCTCGTGGCCCCGAAGGGCAAAGAGGACCAGTAGGACCAATTGTAAGTAAATATTTAACTTAAAAAACTAATTCAATAGAGTCTATTATCAAACTTAACATTTATTTTGTATATCTTTTTCCTTTCTAACATTTGGGATTGAAGAACTACTCTAATGGTTCGTTAATTATTCGGTTATTTTCTTATTATTTTATCATAAAAACACAAATAATTTTCATTGAAATAAAATAAAAAGAAATTAATAGTCTATAATTTAACATTAATAAAGTTTTTCTATATGAAATACGATCATAAATTCATCGCTTGTTCTATTTCTCCGGCGCCAGATATCACTTTAAAATATTGTTTATACTTATTTAAGTGTTGATAAATAATTTTAAGGGGCCTGCTGGGATAATTGGAGCACCCGGACCACCCGGGCTTCCTGGATTATCTGGAACACCGGGTAAAATGGTACGTTTTCTACTACAGTAATGACCGAATAATTTGATATATATCTCATTTCAATATCTTATTTTAGGGTCCTCCAGGGCCTCCAGGACCTCCCGGAGAAAAGGTAAAACATTTATTACCGTATAACTTTTTCTTATCTGTTAAAAAAAGAAATTTCGACCATAAAAGATACGTTAACTGCAGTCATTTCTATAAAAACATATACATATCATTTCTAGTGCTTTTTTTAATGCCTTAGATGATAGTCTGAATTTAATCGCCTCGAAACAAGGTGTAAAACGATAAGTATGTTTTTTATTGCAGGGTGATAGTGTAATTACAACTTATGAAGTGGATGGAATTATTCCCCATCGAGGTCCACAGGTAAGTAAATAACTTTCTACATAATTAAATACTTTTTTACTTAAATTTTGTTTAGATAACCGACATATTTTTCTTTTCAGGGTCTCTCTGGACCTATGGGACCACCGGGAATGGTAAAACAGTTTTATAAGAATTAATTCTGTAGGTGAGAGATATATTGATTGTATTATAATCCCATTATATTTATGCAATTGTTAATATTTTTTCAGCCGGGTGAAAGAGGTGCACTCGGAGAAAGAGGACCCGCAGGTCAACCTGGTCCATCCGGTATGCCTGGCCCTTCTGGTCCACCGGGATTATCTGGTCCACCCGGGAGTAGAGGACAACCTGGAATGCCTGGATTACCAGGGCCACCTGTAAACTATTTATAAATATTTAAATTGATTTTTTAATATTGATTTATATTACTTTTATTTTTTTTAATAATTAACTGATGTCACATGCTGTAGGGAAGAGGATTCACTGAAGAAGAAATGAGAGAAATTTGTGCAGCTGTTCTCAGAGGTAAGCATGTTTTAATTTAAAAAAAATTGACAAATTAGTAATGATTCTGCTATATTTTTTAAAATGAATATTAACTAAATATGCTTTTTAAATGTAAAAATAATATTAAATCAATATACACAGCATATTCATTTCAGAATATATAAAATGTTTAAAAGCTTAAAACTAAATTGGAAAAATCATTAAGTTTATCTGATATTGTCAAAATAGTACAATAATATAAATTATCTTAAAATAATATACTTTAATGATTTGTTTATCTTAGAACAATTAGCAGACTTGTCATCCAAGCTGAGAGGTCCACCGGGACCTCCTGGAAGAGGAAAGCCAGGGCGTCCAGGACCTCCTGGCCCTCAAGGACAACCAGGTACTTATGGGGTTGGCCCACAGGTGACGGGATATACTTTGGTGGTGATGGTGTATATAATTATTCTAAATCATTCTGTAGTGTTATCTTCTGTCTACAATAGTAGTTTCACTAACAGAACTCAATCATTAGCAAATACATTTACCAAATTATTCAATATATAAAAATTTGGGAGTGGATGACTAACTTACTCGAAGGCATTCGAAATTATTTCAATTATGGATCATTAAAATTTTTCAAATATATTTATATTTTTTTTCAACGTTGAGAATAAAATAAATTATATTTTATTATCAATGTGTGTTTTTTTTTAATCTTTCTAATCAATCTATATAAAAAAGAAAGGGTGATATTAAAAGTTTGGACACGTGAATTTCATTTCAATATTTCATTTAAGCCAATTTAATTCATGATATTTTTATTTTTTTTTTGTACAATAAACAATTTATCTTACCGGCATTTCAGTTTAAATAACTTTGATCGATTTTGTACTTACATATTAAATTTCAAACACTTGTGTTTTATTTATACCAGATGTGTTTCTGCTGTCACTTAGCAGAGAATCTGATATCTCATTTTTTTTTTTTTTGTTCTACATAATAATTACTTTTTATTATTTAACACATAGGCCAATTTATTAATATTGTTTATCAACATTTTTTTTTTCATTTCCCATCTTTTTTTTTGGGGGTGGATGTTTTGATCATTTAAATGCTTTATTTGACAATTACAAAATATATAATGTCATTATTTAAGAATTATAAAATGAAAATAAAATTAGGTATTAATATAAAAATTGACAGGCTGTAGTATTTCTATGTTTTAACTCCTTATATTCTATTTAGAAAATAGCCTAATTTTCATATTTTCTCATTTCACAAACGTCTAGAAGATCAATAATTCTATATAAAACTTAATTGAATGGGTATTTCTGTGGTCAGCCCCTCCAAGGCCTGTATTCCTTTTCCTGGACAACCTGTGTCACATTCTCTTAATTTTATGGTAACCTCAACTATCAGTGGAAAATTTAGTTGTTATATTTTATGGCATCAACTACTATATTTGAATATAAAACTGATAGTTTTAGAAGGTTATCAATATCCTGAAAAATTTAAAGATGAATTTTCTTAATTTCTGAATCTTATTCTTTCTTTGTTCTGTCCTCTTTATTTTTACTCTGAAACTACACTTGCCAGAACAGAACGAAGGGATGAACTAATACGAGATTTGAAAGGACCCCCAGGTATTCCGGGCTATGGTAGACCCGGAAGATCAGGTTCAGCTGGGTATCGAGGAATACCAGGTATATTATAATGGTTTAAATTCATAAATTAGTTAATTAGAAACAGGCAGATTAGTGAACCAAATCCACAATTCTTTAAATTTTAAATTTATGATAGTTGAAATCAGCATTAGATCCATTTATTTATTTCAAAAGTAATCAGTTTAATCTAATATTATAATGTTTAATAAAATGTAATTAATTTTTTTTAAATTTAATTTTGCTTTAATATTTTAATTTAGGCGATCCAGGAATTCCTGGTTTACCTGGAGAAAGAGGATTTATGGGATTACCGGGAATGCCAGGTCCTCACGGTCCACCAGGACCTAAAGGTAAGTTATAATTGGTAGATCTTAGTTAACACTGTAGATCACATACGGTAGACCCCTCCTATAACACTGTTGATTATTCCGTGTTATATGAATTCCATGTTGTACGAGTCACTTAGATTTTACAAATACGTGAGCCGTACATAGCCCGGCACACGTATTTGTAAAATCTAAGTGACTCGTACAACATGGAATTCATATAATACGGAATTATCAACAGTGTTATAGGGGGTCTACTATTAAATTCTGAGATGCTAATAGCGCCATCTGTTTTTCCATAGTTAAATTAAAATCTTTTTTCCTGTTAGAAGGATAAAACCTTAACTCATTCACGTGGCCAGATCATGGCTTGGTACCCTATTCTCAGGGTTCCACTTAATGTCTTTAAATCATGACTATTCGGGCATTTTCGGCGGTGTTGCCGATCTTATTCCTGATCATGTTTTGCTATGGTTTGATTTCGCCGCAAACAACAACAAGCAGATGAAATAATTGGATCCCCATACAAAGCCACATTAAATCAATGCAGGAGGACAATGCAGGAGGACAATGCAGGAGGACAATGGATTTGCAGAAATAGGATTCGAATCAATGCAGGAGGACAATGGATTTGCAGAAATAGGATTCGAAGCAATGCAGGAGGACAATGGATTTGGAGAAATAGGATTCGAAGTTCACTAAAAAAAAAGGCGCAGAAAAGTCCTAAAGAAACGAAAAATGACGATGAAAATACTTATTGAATATAGCCTATTGCAATGAATAATATGGAACTACTCAGGAAGAGTGGATTATGTACTGCAAGTGTGAACATGCAGTACATTATCCACTTTTTTTTTTTACTTAAATATACCTTTAAACTTGTATTTCTTTCTTTTAATAGTGAATTCCAACTTATACATTGTTAATAACACAAATTTATATACCTGCCTATCTTGCCCCATTACTGTTGCCGAGGTTGCCCCTGGTATGGGGGCAACTTTGGCAATTGCTATCTTTTTATAAAATTATTATTATTGTGATTATATTTATTTCCAAACTGATTTTAACCAATTCTATGGTAAGGTTACATTCTGGTAGGCAATAAACAACGCTTTTCTTTCAGTTTACAGCAGTATTTGTTACACAAAATTTAACTTATTCTTATCGTGTCGAAGTTGTCTTGTCCGCGGCTTTTCATTACGAGAAATTCAATTTTATTTATTTTTTCATTGAGTAATAATTGATAAAATCTGACGCTATCAAATGGATTAAATTTATATCTTACATTTAATAGAGAACTACAGAATGATTTCACAAATTATTTACTATAGGTGATAAAGGCGATAAAGGTAGTAGAGGTCCCGAAGGAATTGGCATGGAAGGACCGATGGGACTTCGAGGATTGCCAGGTAAAAAGAAATTATTAACATTTTGTTTTTTTTTGTTAAATTAATTAGCATTAACTTATTGTTGATGATATCGTCTTTAGGTCCACCCGGTCCGCAAGGAATCGGTCTACCAGGAAGACCGGGAGAACGAGGTCCTACTGGAAAACAGGGTATCGCTGGTATCCGTGGACCAACTGGACCACAAGGTCCACCAGGATATTGTGAAATATGTAATTATCCTGGAGCAGAATTGATGAACGCATTGCAAGCGACTCATCAAGTACGTGACAGCAAAGGACCTTCTAAATAAGACACTGCCATAGCTAAAAATCTGTGTGTGCCAATTGTTTTTACTCTTTAAAAAGAACCATCCATCTTGTTCGAACCGATTTTTTTTTTTTAATGAATGGCAAAGGAACATAAAAAGGAAACACATTTCCTAAAATGATCACGACAGGAGAATATCCTAAAAATTTTGCTATTTATGTTTTAGTATTTTTTTGTGAGTCCTTGTACAATTTGTTAAATTTGTGTTTTTAGAATTATTACATAAAGGACAATATACCTCATCTGGAAGATGTCTCATTTTTGTGCCATAAAAACTGCAATTTTCTAAATTCTTTTTACAAATCTAAATCTAAATCTTTTGGTACTTAACTTATAAAACAAAAAAACAATAATTTTCTTCAAAATTAAATTATTAAATATGACTATTTAATACAAAGCAATGGCGTATTTTATTTAAAAAAAATATTTTGTTAATTATTTTGTAACTGTTTATTAATTTGTTCCGTTTTAAAAGTTTTTCTTTTGCAAAAGAAAAGGAGAAAAAAAAATGTGTTCATTTTACACATATGTTATCCGTTTTTTTTTTTTTTGCTTTATTTAACGCTAATTTTGTTGGTGATGTGTTTAAATCAGAAGATTGTGCTGAAGTTAAAATAAAATAAAAACAAATTGTGTATATTCCTTTAAATATATGAATATTTTAATTAAAATTGTATATTTATTCGAGAATGAAAAATACATTTTGTAAAAATCTTGCACTTTTAAAAAGATTTGAGAACTTCTTATTGCGCGCATTCTGTCATATTGGAATCTCGGCCGAATCCATGGCGATGCAACGTAAAGCAGTGTGGTTTTCTTTAATTCTTTCCGTCAAGTAGACACTAACAAGGCCTTTTATATCAAGCCCATTATGGACTTGGCCAGGCCCACAATGGGAGGGACGGGAGCCGAAGTATTCAGATGGATCACTCTCCAAAATTCTAGTTTTTTGACCCGTCCGGCTTCGATTCCGGGGCCTCTAATGCTGCAGGCTACCATGTTAACCGCTAGGCCATTCGGCCGTCAATCTGGTCTTTATTTACTGAATTGTGTCTAGATTTTATTTAGGATTTCATTATCTAACCAAAAATATAATTATCATAAAGCAATTCTTATATTAATTTTATTCAGTTTATTAATAAACTAAAAAATTTATTTAAAATATCTTCTGATTTATGTATTAAGCTGAATTTTTAATATTTTTCCGAATTATATTAAATAATTTCGAGCGATCTATTTATTTTCTTCTCGTTTATTTTATCAAGAAAAGACTTATTTAACACTTTAAATTCTGTACGATTTTTATTATTGTAATTAATGTAATTATTAGTAGGACAGGATGGCCGAATGGGTCGAAAAATCCCTTGAATTTTTTCGAGGAGATGATCCCTCCTAATATGTTGAATCCCATAACTCACCACCCGACCGCTTCTACTGTGGGCATAAATAATGGAAATAAAAAGGCTCTCTTAGTGCCCACTGAGCAGAAAGAATTAAAATTTATATATAATAATTATTATTAAACATATGTTTATTATTGCAAAAGTATTAAAATTTTTACTAAAGTTTTAAAACAGTATATAAATTTAATTAAAATTATCAATATACAATACGCCTACGGTCCCAAGAGAATGAAGAGCTATCGGTGCAAAGACCATTTTGGGTGCCCTTTCAGAGACCTGCTTATACAAATAACATAATGATATTGAAGTAGAAAAATAATGTAGTGTAAATATTATCCCATTGCCAAAGTTATTTTATTGATATTATTTGGAAAAAATAATCAGAAAATGGAATATTTAAGTTTTTTTCCACTGATAAGTCCTCTAAAGCTTATGGGCCCCGGAATGGCATCCGGTTGCAATCTTCTCTCGTAGGACCTGAATAAGCCGCCGATTTTACAACCTGATTAATTTTTGGAAAACCGTTTTCTTCCTATAAACTTGTGTCAAATTGAAACTACATTCTTGGACACGATTTACATCATACAGAAATGACTGTCGAAAACACAGTACTTAAATCTGCTATAACAAAAATTTATACGAGTCATCAAAATGGGATTGTTGCAAGTGATGAAGCAAACATCGAAGTTGCCGAGTGGATAAAACTGTTGAATATTTTTAGAATTCTGAATAATACTAAATAATACTGAAGTATTTTTAATATTTACCAATACTGTGTTTGTCATATTCAGCTGAAGAAGGTGTTTTTAATTATGCTTATCACGAATTTTGCCAGACCCATAATGGGTACACTAGGACGGTTGGATGGCCGAGAGGTCAAGGTGGCAACCTACCACTCTGGGAAACCCGGGATCGAATCCGGACGAGTCAAGGAATCCCCAGGAATTTTTCGGGGGTGGTCCGTTCGGATATGTCGGGCCCGTCCCTCACCACCCGGCTGCCCCATTGTGGACCTACCCGAACCCATAATGGGCCTGCTATAAGAGGCCCTCTTAGTGCCCACAGGGCGAAAAGAGTAAAAAAAAAAAATGGATAAGCCAGAGATGAGACTCGATTCACTTTTATTCAAATAGCGTAATACTTCTTAGAGTTTTTGCTGTGATTTAATTTACAACTCTAGTATTTAGAAAAAAATAATTTGCTAAATATTTGAATATTTTTAAAACAAAATTTTAATTTGAAAAATATTAATAAAACAAATAAAACTTATTTATTAAATAAAATATATTTGTTATAAATCTGCCACCAGAGGTCGAGAAGAATGGTGGTTTAATCACGTGAAACGAGCAACAAATTATGTTCCTTGTGCAATGTAAAGGTATAATGTTTATATTTTTATTGCTCCTCTTTTAAATGTCATTTGTATATGTGTTATTCAAAAATTCAATTAAAAATTATTAGTAAAAATTACGACCGGATGCTTATTCATTTTTCTTGAGAGTAGTAAACAGATGATTAACACGTGTCTAATATATATACAATATAAACAACGCATTTTATACCACGTTAGGTAAGTATATACGATTGTATTGTATTGCAGCCTTGAAATAATTGAGAATTTTATCAGATGTTTTCAATTAAGAAATAATCATATTTTCTGTCAAATTGAGCGCTATTTTTTTTATTATTTTTTGCAAGAATTGGCGCGATTTCTGTAATTCTTCGTTGACTGAACAAACTCATCTGTGTAAACTGCATATTTTCTGTTTTAGTTAATCGTGTTACTGATTCATGCTGGGAAATCAGGTCGTTAAGAAAGGTAAATAACCTATAGGATTTGATACAAGCCTACAACAATTTAAAAAAAAAAAAATTGATATTGCAGTTTAGAGATGTTTTTCAGATGTTTTGAATATAAAATTTTAAGATAATTTTCGTAAATAATTGAGTGATTGATTTTTATAAGCTAGCAACAGAACATGAGATTAGCATTTTGGCATTTTACCAAAATATATGAATCTGTCTCACCTGGACAAAACACTGTTTTCTGTCTAGAATTTAGTTTAATTTTCTCTGACTATATATTTGGTTTATATATTAGGATTTACACTTTGTATGTTGTTTATTGATAATGATTATGTTTTTGATTTTGCTTCTTCATCTGTCAATCCTTTTTGTGTGTCAATTTGTATAAAAATCATTAATATGTTATTACTGTCTGAAAAAAAAGATAAAATTATTTATAACTGCTCATTATAATGAACAGAAATAACTGATTTTTTTTTCTTTCATATTTTTTTCTGTAGTAAGGCTGTAAGAACAGGTCCAGCCATGGCCATACCACTTTTCATTGCCAAAGTTACAAATATAATTGTAATTTCAAATCACTTGCTTGTGTGTATCACTTCAAACCAAACCAATAGACTTTTCCATGGAGGAAAGCAATTCCTATAGTATTGCTTTCTCTTTAACATGACAACCATTTTCTTTTTGGCCAGACCACTTTTTCTTCTCTTCCTATGTCCCTGAGTAACCTTATTTATAATATGTTATAATTATGTTCAGATATATTTGCTCATTTATTGCTGAATCTTATTTGCTCATTAAAAATGATTTGACCCATATATTTATTGTAACTTTATATTCTCTGAATTAGCAGGGTTATGTGGAGTAATTCATATGGAAACTGAAAGCTAAATCAGAATTTTTGTATTAAGCCATAAATTAAGTATATATCTTATATACAATAGTTTATTAGGTATTCTAACAGCATGAAAGAAATTCAGAAATTTTTCACAAAGATCAGTTCTAGAATTTTGTCACCAAAATGAAATGTTTTGATTTTTAAAAACTGATTTTTCAATATCACATAAAAATAAGTATTAAAATTATTTTTGATTTTTAAGCTAGGCTCATACTGTCATACGAAACGAACATTAAACAAGAAAAATATCCTCATTGTACTGCATAACACAAATTGAGTTAGAATGTGACTGATTGAAAAGGTTTCAATTACAATCATTAGTTTTTACAGAAAAAGTTGATTGATCAAATAAACAGAAGTTCAGCAAAAGTTGAAATATATGTGGTACCTAATGAACTAGTTGAACACTTACCAAAAGGAGACATAAGCTTGCATGTAGTTTGTAGCAGTTCATATACCAATGTGAACCTAAATTTATAACAGATGCTGTAAAAGTTACAAAGAAATTGATTCAAATGCTGATAGTAATCCTATTATTCATTATATGATGTAGTAAAATTACATATTTTCTTTTTTATTGTGAATTTATTCATTATATGATGTAGTTATCAAGCTTTAAGCTTGATAACTGCATCATATAATGAATAATCAGTTATCAAGCTTTAAGCTTGATAACTGCATCATATAATGAATAAATTCACAATAAAAAAGAAAATATGTAATTTTATTTTATTTTTGGATTTATAAATATATTTGAGAAATGTAGTGTGTTGATTCATTATTTACTATCAACTTACTGAACTTTTTTGAAACATTTTTGAACTTTATAGTTCAACATTAACTACATCCTAAAAGATATCAAATTAAAAAACATTATAATTAAAAATCTTAAATGTAGCTTATATTCTATCATTTAAAATTTTTCCGTTAATTTCTGCTTACTAATAAATACTTAATTGGAGTTTGTAATTGGAATTTGAATTTTATCATGTTAAAATATCATGATAAAAATGTGGATTGATAAGTAAATATATTTTCTGCATTGTTTTAATGTCATTTGTGGAAATTGATTGAGATTATTTGGATAGATTAGAACAAGTTAGAATTTTTGATCATAAGAAATAATAGAAAACACTTTCAATGTTTGAATTATTTTCAGGAACACATCAGCTTTAAATTATGAGGTATGGCTGTATATTAGATCTGCTTTTCTCATGAAATATTCTGAAACCAAATTCTCATTTTTATCCTTTGTTTCTTTTGTTTTTTTTTTTTTTCCTTTTCAGCTGAGTGAGAGGACAGAAATTAAATCAGTTTTTTTCTGAAATTTTTCAGAAGTCATTTTTACTGATATTAATTATACTAAATTATATAGTGCTAAAGTATCCAACAATGGATATTTTTACATATATATAGTACTAAAAGGAACAGAAATTTCATCAGTTGTTAGTGAATGTGGTAATTTTACTTCCCAGAATCTATACTTTAAATTTTTTTGTGTTATCAATGACACATCTTTTTCTTTATAATCAAGCAATTTAATATGACTGCTTCTTTTTGATGCTTACAAAAGTCATTAGTATTTCTTTATCCTGAAATATATTTTGGTAAGAATTTCTAACAACAAATAGAAAACATTTGTATGAAGAAAAGAGATTTTTCTATGACTATGTTTCTTAAAGTATGTTAGGATTGTGGGTATATTAAACAATTCATACATTTCTGAATTCTCGTTGTAGATTTTATGAGAGGTGAGCATAAGTTGCCTGCACATTACTAAAATATACATATAGTAATGTCTGCCTTTATACCTTAAAAAAAATTTAATTTCTCTTCATCTTCAGTGGCAATATCTATTAGATTGACTGATTTAGATTAGGAACATATTTGTCAAACCAAATCAAGTTATTTAGAAATAAAATTTAAGAAGTCTTGAAACATACTTTTGAAAATCTTAATTTGGAGGACATAAATTGTAAATTGACATAACTTATAACAAAATCAAATACAGAGAAATATAAAATTTATATGCAGTGGTTTTCATCAAACCAATCTGTTAATTTAAAATTGAATTTTTATATGACTAAAGAAAAAAAAACAATTTGGTTATGCTTATTGAATTTTTAATTTTATTAAGGTTTATATGTATATATGGTATAATATATGAATAATAATGAATTGTAGTTATTTTTTTTTTTTTAAATGTTCAATTTAAGTAGAAAGTTATAATTTACTTGTATTATTGTTTTTTCAGATAAACACTACTATTAACGTCCAGTTTGAGCACTTAAATTTATTTTTTAGCTTTCAGTGATAAAATGGAAAATTCTACATACTACAACATTGGATTACAGTTTATAGAAGCTTGTGTTGACATTGAATATTTAAGTTGGCTGATTTGGTTATTTACACCTGTAGTTGTAAGTGAAAGCTTTTAATTTTATATTTTTAGTATTCAGACACTATTAAAAAATCATTTTATTCCATTTGTTTTGCATAGAAATATCATTATGAATATAATTGAAATAAAATCCAACCACCATAATATTTTCTCTATTATTTCATTTTATTAAATTGGCTTAAACTTTATACACAAGCATCTATTAATTCACCTGCAGCAACTTCAGTTAATCTAAACCTTACATAATTGGGACAGGTTGCAGATGGATCACTGTATTGTCCTATCATGCAATGTCATTGAGTGAAATAAGCAATATTTTACCAAATAAATTGTTGAAAATTGTGACATTTTAAAAAATTATCTTCTAAAAATTCTAAATTACATTTTAAAACTAAAAGCATACCCTAATAATTGGCTGTTTTAAGCATTTAAGTTTTATTTACTAATTAAACACTCATTTTCAAATTAATCTGGAATAATATTTTTTATATAATTTTAATGATAAATACATAATTATATCAAAATTTTCTACACTGTGACATGTTGAAAATAGTGAATTAAAATTTATTTTTAAAATGGTCATAGATCATAATCAAGCAATACTGCTGGATTTTTATTGGGCTGATTAATTTCTAATATAATAGATAATTTGGACTAGATGTAGGTGGTTAAGTCACCGTTTCATGTTAAATGTAATCATTAGAAATAATTTAATTTAGACTTTTCTGGAAGAAAAGATCAGTCCAGACTGGAACTCAAACTGATAACTCCTATTTATCATACAGTTGCATTACCAGTTACACTACCTGGAACTCCATTCATTACTTCCAGATCAATTAATTTAAAATAGATAACCACTGATCGATCTTTCTATTGGGTCATATATTGGGTTTAGTTTTATATGTTCTGTAAAAGATTAAAAGTATGAAAGTAGTTTAAAATTTAAGTTTTGTTTAATTTAAATCTTAAAATTAGCTAAACTTTAATGGAAAATACAACAGAATATATAGTTTATCAAAGTTTATTGATAATTGAACTGTTGTAAATGAAAGTGATATATGTCAGTTTTCCAAGAACTATATTGCTTCTGAGGTTTTTGTTCTTGACAGCATCATTTACATGTTTATTGTAAAGAAATAGAAATACAGTAGAGTCCCCTACTCTGAACATCACTAATCCGAACATGTTTCAGTCAGTGGAGAGGAAATTTTTCAGCTTGCAAAATATACGTTTTTTTTGTATTTTCAGTTGAATTTAAATTTTGTATTTTCAGTTGAATTTGTATTAATGGTACAAAAATATTTAGAATTCCACAACAAAAAAAATTTGTATTTTATTGTAGTACTGTATTAATACTGTACAAAATTAATAAATCAGTGTTTGACATGGTCTATTAAAACAGCAGATCTATACTGCACTTACACACAAAAACAGAAGCAAAAATCATTGATGGTGCTGGATCTATATAAACCAGACCTGTTTTACTGCTTGCTTCTGCATTATTTCAATTATTTGGCTAATCCGAACAGGGCTTGGTCCCGATTAGTTTGGAGTAGTGGGACTCTACTGTATTAAATATTTCTATTTCTTATATATTAGTGAAAGGGGTGAAAAGTAACCTTCACCCCTTTCACTTTCAGTAGCTCAATTATGACACCTATATTTATTTAATTAATATATTTTATCATGATAAATAATTGAAGTTTTATAAAGATGATTATTACATTTTTATCTAGTTATATTATAATAAAATGATGAACATTATGATTCAATGTGTATTTTGATTATTAAAATTTTCAGAATTAATATTCAAACTACATATTACATGTAATGTCTATCATTTTATTCTTGATATGATTAAATATAGTAGACCCCCCCCTATAACACGGTAGATATGTTCCGTGTTTTATGAAATTCATGTTCTACAAGTCCTTAAATACATGAGCCAATCACAGCTCGGCACTAATTATGGACTACAGCTGTTTTCTTCCTTAAAATTAATCAATTCTAGACTAATTTGACTCAACATTTCCAAAACACGTATGATTTTTTGGGAATAATCCATATAAACTATGCTATAAACAAAAAATTGTAGGATTACTTACTGAGTGTGCACCATTCGACGACGCCATTGCTTAAGCTTGTTTTCATCATAGAGCGGCGCATCGAATGGCGGGCACGTGTTTCCTGATAAATTATTTTTTTGTGAAAAATTTGCTGAACTTTGGAAACATCATTAGTATAAATATAATTTTTATGGACGTTAAATAATAAATGGTTTTTAGTAGTTCCACTGCTCGTTTAAACTCAATGGTTTGTGCAATATTCGCTATTGGTCTAGATTTAACCAATCCTGTCGCGACACGAGTCAGAGATGACATTTTACCATATTTTACAAGTTTCTTTTAGCATGTTTATACAAATACGGTTGCAATTTTTTCGCCATTATATATGAATTTGTATTATATGAACCCATTTTATAGGGGGGTCTACTGTAGTAGAAAAGTTAAAATTTTAAGTTTTTTAAATTAATATCATCTTGGTTTTTTTAAATATAAGAAATTTGCTTTTTATGCATAAAAATGGAAAGAACTATTTTGTTTGTTTTATCATTTGCTTAAGACATTCACCAATTTGAATATCAAGAAATATCTTTATTTATTTATCTTTTATATTTTAATTTATAGTATGGAAAATATAAGAAAATTATGTGGCAAGATTTAATTGTTTGTAATCATTATTCTAATTTGTATACAATATGACACAAGCCTAAATTAAATTTAAATATATTTCAAGTACTGGCAAGTTTATTTGTATAATTTAGTGATTATCTGTAAATTAATTGTTGTAATTTTGAAACCACAGCTATGCAGTGCTTCCATCTCATTAAATTTAATAATTATAAATGTTATGTATTTAAATAATAATAAATGCTTTATAAAATAATATACAAAATTATTAGATATTTTTGCAGAAAAGATTTAATAAAACTGAAGTTGATTAAAACATTTTTCTATGTACAGTACTGTACTGTAATTGCACTTAAGGTATAATATTATTAAATGAAATTATAGGACAATGCAGTATTTAATTTGAAACTTGTCTAAAGTATGAAAAGTCACTAGAGGTAAATTAATGATGCTTATAAATGAAGTTTAAATGTTTTTATCAAATATTTTAAATTTGATAATATAATTGATTTATTTTGGGTTTATTAATTTAATTTTTTATTTTTAGATTGGCTATATGATAAATAAATAAATTCCTCATTGCTTAGTAAATTTAAGTATAAATATCATAAATTTACTTCATTAGCTACTTAAGTAAATAAATAAAAATGACTAATTTGATTAATAATTTTTTAATCAAATTTTTAGATAGGTGTGAATAAGATATATAAATTATTATTTTAATGATAACAATAAATTTTAAGGGTATTTTTACATTAAAAATTTATCACCATTAATATGAAAATATGGCTGTATATGATTCAAAGAAATTAATCTTATAAAACTATAATAGATAAATTACATAAAATTTATCTCAAAGTATATGCATAAATATAAAATAATTTTGAGTGATATTTGAAAGAGTTAATTATAATGTTGCCAATGTAATACAATTTTTTAATTGTGTAATCTATTTTAAAAAGATTTCTGGTCTTTGGCCAACTTTCAAGCAACTATCATACTGAGATATGTACAGTACAGATCCTTTCTATTCAAATTTATCTTAAACAATTCAATTTTAAGAATTCTAATAATTTTATAATAAATTATCAGTATAATTTAAATATATATGTTTCAATAAAAGCTTTTAATGCCGTTCTGTTTACAAAATAAAGAATAATTTTTTAAACAGAATATTTTAATAATAGATTATTTTTGATCTATCATCATCTGATATAAAATAGTTGCATAGTAAAATTCTCTGGAAGAAATTTAAAGAAAATTTTTTGTGTAAATTTGAAGAATGTATTTGTTTTAGATGTTTATTTTCTAAATTTGTAATTCAGTAAATTTGTATTATTGTTATATATTTAGTAATATTTTAAATAAATATATATATATATTTTTAAATTCAATTTTAATTACATATCTACAATTTAAAAACAAATGTTTTACAAATATTAAATGTTACATGTAGTACTAGTATTACTTCTATTACAGTATAACTTTCTTTTTCTATAAATAGCATTTTAAATGAACAATCATATAATTATATAAAAATGAGTAAACTAATAATTTGAATGGAAAAATTTGTAAATTAAAAATTAAGTAAATAGCATAAAAAATTGTGGATTTCAAAATGAATAAATTTTTATTAATTATTTTAAATATTTGTGAAATATTAAGTTGATAGTGTTTGGAATGCCCTATATAAACATGTACCATGTATATATTTATATGTAGGACATTTTTAAATAATGATTCAGAATAATTTTCATTTTATAAATTTCTCCTTAAAGATTATTAATACAGTATTTAAACTGAGCTTTTAAGAGAATTTCAAAATGATAAATTATCCTTGTTAATGTTAAAGTTTTCAAACAAATTATTTAAAGTTTAATAGAATAATCTAAATTATTTTAATATAGATTTTTAAAAATTGATATATATTTTAAAATAACAAAAATACCTAAATTCAGTCTTGTTGGATGGCTTTAATTACCAGTTTAGATAAAGAAATAACAGAACTATGATATCACAGAATTGAAATTGTTTTGACAGAATGTTTACTGGATTTTAATAAGAATTCAAGTTTCTGATGTTACATGCAATAAAATCAAATAAACCAGTAAATAACAGGTGTCAGTAACTAAAATGATTCTACAGAAATTCATTTTTATATAATACTATAAAATTTTTAGATGCATAAAGATACAAAAAAACATATAACTTTAAATTATTTATTATTTTGATGTTGGAATGGCATTTTAAAAACGTATAAAATGAATATTAAATGTACAAGTGGAAAATATACTGTGTAATTTGAGAAGCATCCCCTATTATGCTTCTGACATCACTGTGTTTTCTAGCAAACATATAAATCTTCATTTTTTCCTGTATTTGTGTACATAAGTGAGCGGCTACATATAGGGATGAATGTGGGTGGATGGAAGAGGGAAAGTTAGAGAGAGAGGGAGATCTGGAAATAACGCACTCCACTACACATTTAATAATAATTAACAACAATTTATTTAACATAACACTGAAAAAATCAACAAGTATACTTTACTTGCCCAAGAAATAAGACAACTGTGAAGGATGGGTAGGATATTTATAGTGTCTGTTGTCCTCGCTTTCACTGGTGTCATACCACATATACTATGCAAGTGTAGAAATGTTAAATCCGAATAAAAACAGATACATGACATTACAGAACACAACAATATTGAACATGTCACATTGTTAGGAAATTTACAGATGTGAACATATACACTAATAACACATATGCTTAATGTTACACTTGTTTGGGTAACTTGATGGTGTAATAAGTATGATAAACTTGTTCATTTCTGATGTCCATTTCATTTGTTGGTGTGATTACCTTCCTTAGTGGTCTGTGGCTGGATTACATCAGAAACATTAAGGTTAGGCCAGTTTCCCACAACTGGTATGGGCATTGCAGTAGCCATACTCAGCTACTGCAATGCCCATGGAGATTGTGACATTTTTCAAACATGAGCTTCTGCCTAACTCATGAGCATGGACCTTGTTAACCTGGATGATGTCAGAGCCAGTTTTACACTTGAATTATGTTATCACTATGGTTAAATCTCCACAGTGGGTTCAGTTACTTTTGGCTTCATTCCTCCCAACAGACCTCATTGGCATGGATGACCCTACCAGGGGCAGATCTCCAGTTGTAATAGCTCTGTGGTTTATCGGAATTATTGAACTGAGTTATTGTTGTATAAAATTTATGCATAAAATTACTATTTACTTCCTATAATATATATTTTGAATATAACTTTATTTTATTAAAAGGAAAATTTATTAATTTAAAAATATTTT